CCCTCCTCTGGACCCTCTCAATGTTGTCCACATCCCTCTTGAAGTGGGGTGCCCAGAACTGGACACAGTACTCCAGCTGTGGCCTGACCAGTGTCACGTAGAGGGGGAGGATCACCTCCTTGGACCTACTTGAGATGCACCTGTGGATGCACGATAAGTTCCGGTTAGCCCTGCCGACCGTGACCTCGCATTGTCGGCCCATGTTCATCTTGGACTCAATAATGACTCATCTGCATATGACCTCATCTGCATATAAAATTTTGGAAGGTCCTAGGACTTCTGACCAGAACATCCAGTTCCAGTCATGAATGGGGGCTAATTAACACATGGGATATCTGGATTGCACACACATACTGAGCAGTGATGGACTGTAGGGTCACCATGGCTTGAAATACTGTTGAATCTGGATGGGGCCAGCCCAGTGAACTGTATGATGTCATAAGCCTTTTTACTTTGAACTAATAGCATATATATTTTGTACTCTGTAGGTACAAAAGTGCTTCTCAAAAGTGTGTTTATGGTTTTTGTGTGTTTGTGCCAAAACCTGCAGCAGTTTACAACAAATTAAAATGCATCAATTCTAGATGAACTTACCCACAGTCATTTGCAAATATACAGGTTACCATGGGTATGTTTATTTCAAAGTCAGTGTTTTTTTGATCCCTTGCATTTCAGATTAACATGGTGGGGAAGGGAGCAGGTCAGGCAAGAAGGCAAACTGCTTCAGTTCTGACTCTGGCCATGAGTTTGGCTCAAGGCCTGAGTCAGATCTATAGCAGACACCTTCCCCCCCCCCCGCCCCGCCTGCTTGCTCTCTGCAGCTTCTGCCCTCCCCTCTGTCCCTTCCCCCCTCCCCCTTACTGTCACATACAGTTCACTCTTTCTACATTGTCCTCAGGGAGGGCGCAGAACCTAAGTAGGGTCTGATAGTAAATGTGGCGGGAAGGTTGCATGGAGAATAAATTGGCCAAGGGGCTGAGGACAAGGGATCTGACCCGACCCCCCCGCCTTCCCCCCCACCACACACACACTATTTTCCCTGCTGTAGCACTGGGAAGGGAACATATTCAAGACAACCCTCCAATAATTTGATTCTACACCTGGAAAAATATAACAAATTTATATTTTTTTTCTTGTAGAGATTTAACAACTGGGGGTTTGTCTTATATACAGGGTCATCTTATGTTGAAGTAAATATGATATATATTGTGTTGCTGTTAAAGACTGAATTATAATTATCACTGCTTTTGCCCTACAGATCATACATATGGGATGGGTGAATGAGAGACTTGATGGAACTGATTCATCTCATATATACAAATTCAAATTCCTGGCACTGAAAGGTTCATCCTTCTACATTTTCAGCAGTCCACCAGTAAGAAGTCAATTATAATTTTTGTCTTTTTTTTTTGAAGAAACTGTTTTTAATATCACTGGACACTAATTATTTCCTATTAATTAAAGCTGTTGACTGAGATTCTTAAAAAAAAAAACTGAGGAAATTAGTCATATGCATGCCACAAATTCCATTAAATTTAAGTAGGATTAAGATATCTAACTGTTAAGCTTTTTTGAAAATCACTTACATAAAAGTTTGTGGAAACTGGGTAGTTCAGAATATTGTTAGTGGGCACATTCCTTTTGTGTGTAAAGAACTGGTTCAAATTCCTCTCAGGTGGATTGTGACCAAAATTTACTCTTTCACCCTGAGAATCTAACATGTGAAATGATTTGCTAGTTAGTCTAGCTCTCTTCAGAAGGATGTTAACATTAGTAATAACTGGCAGTACAGACTGCCATGCGTAGACCCTGAGATGGTGCAGAGTCACTTGGAGGAACTGGATGCCTTTAAGTCGGCAGGCCTGGATGAGCTCCATCTGAGGGTACTGAAGGCACTGGCTGACGTCATTGCACAGCCACTGGCGGTAATATTTGAACACTCGTGGCGCATGGGCCAGGTCCCGGAGGACTGGAAAAGGGCCAATGTGGTCCCCATTTTCAAGAAGGGGAGGAAGGAGGACCCAGGCAACGATAGGCCAGTCAGTCTCGCCTCCATCCTAGGCAAAGTCTTCGAAAAAATTATCAAGGCTCACATTTGCAAGAGCCCGGCAGGACAAATTATGCTGAGGGAAAACCAGCATGGGTTCGTAGCAGGTAGATCATGCCTGACTAATCTAGTCTCTTTTTATGACCAGGTTACAAAACACCTGGACGCAGGAGTAGGGGTTGATGTCATATACTTAGACTTCAGGAAGGCCTTCGATATGGTATCCCACACCATACTGGTAAACAAGTTAAGAGGCTGTGACTTAGATGACTACACAGTCCGGAGGGTGGCGAATTGGCTAGAGGGTCACACCCAGAGAGTCGTAGTGGATGGGTCGGTATCGACCTGGAAGGGTGTGGGCAGTGGGGTCCCGCAGGGCTCGGTCCTTGGACCAATACTCTTCAATATCTTCATCAGCGACTTGGACGAGGGAGTGAAGTGTACTCTGTCCAAGTTTGCGGATGACACAAAACTGGGGAG